TGGGGCCGTGAGCCGTGGCCGCTGAGCCTGCGTGTCTGGAGCCTGTGCTCCGCAACGGGAGAGGCCACAACAGTGAGAGGCCCGCATACCGCAAAAAAAAATGCATTGTGTGTATGTTACAAAATACATAGGTTATATATATAGATTATATACATATATATATAACTGAGTCACTTTGCTGTACACCTGAAGCTGACACATTGTAAATCAACTATACTTCAATTTAAAAAAAAACTGAAGAAAAAGATTCTTTAGATACACAAAGCAAATGAGGTGAGCCCTACAATTGCACCAGCTTACTGCCTTGAGAGAGTTCCCCCACAACAGTGGAGAAAGGGAAGGGGGGCCCAGGCAGAGCCCAGAGGACTCCCTGAGCTGGGGAGAAAGTACTGAGAGTCCAGAGAGGTAAAGGTGGCTGGAATTTGCAGGGCAAAATAGAAGAAAGGTGATTGCTGCTCAGAAAGAGAACCCTTGAGATCGGCAGAGGGTCCCCTTGGACTATTCAGCAGAGAACTGAGCAGCACATGTATGTAAGGAAACCAGCAGGGGGCAGGGAAAGAACTACCTGGAAGGATGGGAGGAACTAGTACCTGGTGTTCACATCAGGACCCAGAATATGTGCTTACACTCTCCAGCCAAGCTGGGAAACCAGCTGGGAACCTGATGCAGTTGCTAGAATTAGCAAATCAGGACAGTGAAACAGTTTTTAATATGTATATTCCATATGTTTAGAAAGTTAAATAGAGACATGGAAGATTTAAAAAAAAAGACCCAAATGAAACTTCTAGACATGTTTGATTCATCAGTGTTTGAGATTAAAAATACACTCCATGGGGCTTCCCTGGTGGCGCAGTGGTTGAGAGTCCTCCTGCCGATGCAGCGGACACGGGTTTGTGTCCTGGTCTGGGAAGATCCCACATGCCGTGGAGTGGCTGGTCCCATGAGCCGTGGCCGCTGAGCCTGCGCTCCGCAACGGGAGGGGCTGCAACAGTGAGAGGCCCACATACCGCAAAAAAAAATACACTCCATGGGACTGATGGTGGATTAGACACTGCAGAAGAAAAGACTGGTTAACTTGAAGACACCAGTAGGAATTAAACAAAATGAAATGCAAAGAAAGAAAAAAAGACTTTTAAAAGTGGAGAAAGGAATCCATGACCTGTGAGACAATTCCAAGTGGCCTAATGTACACTTAACTGTAGTCACCAAAGGAGAGAAGATAGTGGGAAAGAAAAAAATTTTTCTGAAGAATTAATGGCTGAGAAATTTTCAGATTTCATGAAAACTATAAAGTCACAGATCCAAGAAACCCAGGGAACCCCAAGCATAAGAAACTGAAGAAAACTATACCCAGAGAACTTTAAAATCAAGTTGTTCAGCACTGATGATAAAGAGAAAATCTTAAAAGGAGACAGAGAAAAAAGACAAAATATATTCAAAGACATGAAGACAAGGAATATCATAGTTTTGTTTGGTTAGAAACAGTAAATGCAAGAGAGAACAGTGGAGCAAAAATGTCTTTCAAAAATGAGGGCAAAATGAGAACTTTACTAGGCATATAAATCTGAAAGAATTCATCACTGAAGGAGCCATATTACAAGAAATATTAAAAGAAGCCTTTCAGACAGAAAGAAAGTGATGCCAGATGGAATTAAATAGATGCACACAGATGAAGAGCACTGAGTATTGTGACTATAAGTTTGGAAGGCAGATTTCATGAAAAAAATGTCTCCTAACACCCCCCTCCCATAAAACTAATGTGAAGAAAACATTTAGTGAGGCCACAGCCTTCAGCAAGCACACCCAAGGGTAGTGTCTGTCCTAGCAGAAGCCCAAAAAGGTTTATAAATCCTGACTCAGATTGTCTTGCCATATTGGGCTGCTTGTAACACATGCAAATATGCAGCAAATTAAAGTGCTTTATTATTATTATTATTTTTTTTTTTTGCGGTATGTGGGCCTCTCACTGTTGTGGCCTCTCCTGTTGTGGAGCACAAGCTCTGGACGCACAGGCCCGGTGGCCATGGCTCACGGGCCTAGCCGCTCCGCGGCATGTGGGATCTTCCTGGACCGGGGCACGAACCCGTGTCCCCTGCATCAGCAGGCTGACTCTCAACCACTGTGCCACCAGGGAAGCCCTAAAGTGCTTTAGATAATACAAATAATGAATTTCTGTTTACCTATGAGGAGCTCTGTATAATCTTTGTGTTAATGTTTTTAAGGTGTTATCAATTCAGAAGTATGAGTTTGTTTACTGTTATACAGACACATTTAAGATAAAATATACAGACATACCTCTTTTTATTGCACTTCACAGATATTGCATTTTTTTAAATAATCAATTTTGGGGGGCTGCATTGGGTCTTCGTTGCCTGCATGCAGGCTTTCTCTTGTTGCGGCGAGCGGGGGCTACTCTTCATTGCAGTGCGTGGGCTTCTCACTTCAGTGGCTTTTCTTGTTGTGGCGTATGGGTTCTAGGCACATGGGTTTCAGTAGTTGTGGCACGCAGGCTCAGTAGTTGTGGCTCACGGGCTCTGGAGCACAGGCTCAGTAGTTGTGGCACACGTGCTTAGTTGTTCCGCAGCATGTGGGATCTTCCCAGACCAGGGCTCAAACCCGTGTCCTCTGCATTGGCAGGCGGATTCTTCAGCACTGCACAACCAGGGAAGTCCCAGATATTGCATTTTTTACAAATTGAAGGTTTGGGGCAACCCTGCATTGAGCAATTGGATCAGTGCCATTTTTTTCTAACAGCATTTGCTCGCTTCATGTCTCTGTGTCATATTTTGGTAATTCTCACACAATTTCAATCTTTTTCATTATTATTATATTTGTTGTGGTGACCTGTGATCAGTGATCTTTGATATTAACTATTGCCAAAAGATTATGACTTGCTGAAAGCGCAGATGATGGTCAGCATTTTTAGCAATAAAGTGTTTTTAATTAAGGTGTGAATGTGTTTTTTAGACATAATGTTACTGCACACTTAATGGACTACAGTATAGTATAAACATAACTTCTGTTATGCACTAGAAAACAAAAAAAATTCATGCAGTTCGCTTCTTTGTGATAATGACTTTATTGTGGTGGTCTGGAACCAAACGTGCAGTATCTCTGAGATGTGCCTGTGTTTTATAAAGATTGGAAATGAGAACCTTCTAGAACTTGCATATTTTTAAGGAACTGCCCCCCAAAAGCAGTAGAACTTGCAGGGAGAAAAAGGAGAGGTTAGATACACAAAATGCAGCCAGCAGAGGTCTTGGTATTCATTCCTTACAAATCATCTTTGCTGTCCTTCGAAATATATAAGAAGAAACATTTGAGCTTCAACAATATGCTTCCTCGATTTTAACACCGTAAATGGAAAAGCTGAGCTCTCACTTCTCAAGTGGTTCTTAGATCCCTGAAATAATGTCAACATTAAAAAAAAAAAAATCTGCTCTTATAGAGAGCAAACTAGTGGTTAACAGTGGGGAGAGGGAAGAGGGAAAATGCTTCCCTCTAAAAGGGGATTTAAAAAAGGGGGTTATTATGGGAGTACATGAAATCATGTGTGAAACTTTTGAAAATTGTAAAGCACTGAAAGGATAAAAAGAAAAAAAAAGAAACCATTGCCTAACCAAAATCGAAAACAAAACCAAAAAAGCCAAACACGAAACAACAAAAAAAAAATCTGCTCTTGTGGAAAAGAGCAAGGGTATTTTTAACATATGTAGAGGACACACCAGACCCTACTTTTTTTTTTTTTTTTTGCAGTATGCGGGCCTCTCACTGTTGTGGCCTCTCCCGTTGCGGAGCACGGGCTCCAAATGCGCAGGCTCAGCGGCCATGGCTCACGGGCCCAGCCGATCCGCGGCATGTGCGATCTTCCCGCCACCAGGGAAGCCCCCAGACCCTACTTTTTAAAGGTCTCACCCTAGAGCATCCCAGGGTGGCAAATAAAATAAACTCATCTTTTCTGGGAAGACAAATCACTGTAATTCTGGGAGTTTTAGTTCTCCCAAGTTAACCCTTACCCTCTTTTTCAGTATTTTTCAGCATTCTTAGAAGCTTTCCCTTCCCCAAAACACAACTGTGCCAATAATTTATTTTTTAAAAGAAGTTAATTGTGATATTATGAAAACTTTTTCTGAATTTTTTAGTTAAAATACATAATTTACTATAATTATGTTTATAAAAACTTAAGTGTATGGAAAAATAAAACATAAAGATTACAATATGGTATAAAAGTCCTGTAGCTGGAACAGCTGAAATCCTTGCCGTACTCAATGAATCATTTTTCATTAAAGTTAATCTTTTAACAGCGGGTGTCAGGCAGATTTTTAGAAGCATTCTTCCTTGGTTCAGCTGGCTGTTTTTTAAGGTGATGTATCAAATATCACAAAGATAATTCACTGTGTAATTAGACCTTTGTAATTAGAATCAGCGTCCTTGTCCTTCTGCTGGAATATAAAGAATGAAAAGTGTAGGTTTAAAGCATTATTTTCTTCATTCTGCAATAGGTAAGTAATATGAAAATGCAATTAGTATATAGAAGCACCTAGATGGCCAGTAGGGACTAAACACAATACTCCAAATCATATAAAAAATAAATTGTTTATTTATTGTTTCACTTTTGGTTACAGGGGTATTAATATCTGTTGGGTACAGGACATTGGCCAAACATAACACAGGCTTATTTTTCATGGTCAGTGTCTCATTTAATCTTCCCCTCAACCTAATGAAGTAAGTATTGTAAACCCATTTTACAGATGATGAAACTGATCCTTAGAAAGACTGTAGCTTATTCAAGGCCCTGCGGCTGATGGGTCCCAGGGCTGTGATATGAATTCAGGTCTGTCTGAAATCCTCATCCTTCGGGTCCACATCAGCAACCTCTGCTTCTCAAATTTAATGTCTTGAGAAATCCTAATTTCCCCTTTGACCATACTGTCTTTTTGGTCTGATTTCCAGTTTCCGTGTAGCTGATAGCATTAATCTTTTTGATGGTTTTATTTCAGGAATTACAGTTTGAAAGGCTGACCCGAGAGCTAGAGGCAGAACGCCAGATCGTTGCCAGCCAACTGGAGCGATGCAAGCTTGGATCCGAGACCGGCAGCATGAGCAGTGTCAGGTACTGCGCGCACTGCTCCTCAGGGCTGGGCTTTGAGCTGCCAGTGGAAGGAAATTATGGTGTTTCTCTTCTCCTTGCAAACCTGGCGGTGGAATTAGAACATTCAGTCAGATAGATGTTGGAAAGGAATTGTAACCAACCCGATTTAAGATGTTCAAAAGGTGTCTGATCTGATTTGTACTTGAAACTCTTCATAAAATGAACACCTGCCCTGAATGCAAATTATGCATCATTTTACACAAAAAAGGAGGCTTTGCATTTAGTCAACTTACTGGAAATGAGGAGATGCCATGTCACAGTCTCTTAGCTTGGTTCTTTTTTCTAAATGATCCAGAGTTGCAGGTTCTGGAAATGAAGGCGAGAAGGTTTTGGTATAACTTGTATTGTTTGCTAATATACAATGCTAAATTATAAAATTGCTCTCAGACATCAACCAATGCAATTCCTGTGTGTGAAAGCATTCAAATCCATAGATAGAATGGATTGCTTATTCAGTTAGGGGTTGGTTTGAGATTATGAAATATTTAAAAACAAAACTTAGTCGCTTGACCACAAAATAAATTATCTGCCTAAGGACCTTGTGTTCATATTTAAAAATAGAAGTGTGTGTGTGTGGCTGTGGCATGAGTGTGTGTGTGAAAGAAACATAAATAAAGCTCTGTAAGACGACTTTATTTTTCAAAAATGCATCATACTTTCCTGTCATCTTGTTCTGTATTGTGGTTTTGACATGCTACATTTTTAGGGAGTTATCTTCTTAAGGAAACAACAGTTGCTCTGGCAAATAAACTCCAGCATTCTAGCGACTTAACACAATAGCAGTTTGTTTCTTATTCATGCAACAGATAGAGGTGGTGGATGCTGGTCAGGGGGCTGCTTCCCTTCCATGCAGTAGTTAAGGACCCGGCTTCTCTCTTGAGAGCCCTGCCATCCCCTTCGGCCTCATGGTCAATTGCATTGTCAATTGCATCACTGCAACCACAGTCCATTGGTGAGAACCAGTCACATGCCCTCTCATAGATGGAAATGGGGCAGGGATTCCTAGTCTTGGCATCTGTAGCCACTCTGCCTAAGAGGCAGGAACATGAGTTTGAGGGTCTCTTAACCAACTACTGCCACAAAAGAACTAAAACATGCTTGAATCCATTGCTCTTAAAATATTCTATCATTGTAAGATTAATTTGTAGTTGGAATGTTTCCTATTGGAGCTACCTGCCATTAATCTTTTAACATTGTTCTTTGCTTTGTCCAACAGTGATAACCTTTAAATGGAAATCATTGCACCTCTTGTTAGACTAAATTGCTTTGAAATATCATTTTCAATAGTAAAGCCTTAATTGCAGTATGTTAAAGCCCATCTGCTTTGGCACCCAAGTACCTAGTCTATACTAGCTACAAATAGATACATTGTAATCTCTTAAACTCATCACAGACTTGTCTGAACATCCATATTGACTAAAGTAGGATGGACAAGAAAAAGGAGAAGTGAATTGTGTCCACTTGAAATTGTTTTCAGAAGGTTGGCTGGTTGCAGTTAGTGAGTATGGGGAAAAGTAATATTTGTAAGTGTGTATTTGATTTAGTACATGTGGTTGTACATATTTGAAGAGCTCTTTTTTAATGGTGAACATTGCCTGAGAAGCTAAGTCTGTCAGATTTTTTTAGGTCCGTAAACACTGGTTGAGTGGACATCTACATCATTTGCTTTGAAACCCATTGTTTCACCATTGATCAGATTACCTTTTCAATTTGTATTCCTAATCTTTCTGTGTGATAACTTTGCATACTCTTCATGTCCATCTTGTATTTTGTTTCACCCCCCTCCAGCCCTTGGTAGCAGCAGGCCTGGGGGACCATGTTGTATCCTGTGTCTCAATTTCCAACTTCTCATTGGATCAGAAATGGATATCTGACCCAAGGGTGATTCATCCAGTAACTGGCCTGCAAGAAATTAGTCTTGTGCTCTTGAGAATGTGAACTAAGTGACCCCAAATCTTTGACATCTAATGGGTTGTGCTAGGAGATGGTGGCCATGAGGATTGGGTGCTGGTGGAAGAATCTGTGGTGACATAGAGTAGTCCAACAGAGACTCTGTGGTTCCTGAAAGTCAGAGACCAGTTTAGTTCCCATTAGGACTGGCTGCATTTAGATGTTGCATCTATGAGATTACCTTTTAAATTCTTAAAAACTTTCCTCCTCCCTCATTTGATTTGATTGAGTTGATATCTTTTCTTAGGTCTAATGTTTCATGAATAGAACACATCAGTGAACTGCCAAAGTAGGCAGAAAAATTATCCCATGACAACTTGTGATTATTTATACTGTCTCTTGTATTCCCAGATCACAGCCCATGATACACAATCAATAATTCTGTCTTAAATATATATTAAATAATAGTGCTGAATGCAGATGACCCTGCCTAATTATTTCCCCTTGCCATATAGCTATATATGTGTCTTCATCAAGCTTGATTATTTTGTATTTTGGAAATGTCTAATGTATGAATCTGTATTTGAATAATACAAGAAATTTACTGATATTTCACTGGAGGAAATCCAATACATACCTTCCACTGTTTGTTTGTTTTTTTTGTCATAACCTAGTTGTTTGCTCAGCTTCAGAAGTGCAGCTTTGGAAATTCAAGTCTTTATTAAGGGTGATAGACTAACCTAGTTAGCACATCAAAGGGGATGTTTAAAAATAAACAAAATAGAAAATGTAAACAGTTTTTGAGAAAGGAGAACAGGTAAAGAAGCCTGTGATGATTTAGATTTGTTTTATCTTCTTAGGGATACTAGGGAGTAAGAGGGTTTGTTAGAGGAAATGAAACAAAATCAAATATTTTTCAGATTTTTATATAAGTGGTAAAAATGACTGGTAAATACAGTTCGGTTTTCCTGTGCCTGTACTGGCGTTAGGAAATTGCTCCATCTGATTCCTAAGACCTTTCCTGGTAGTTACACTGACAATTTAAACTTAATGAAAAGACATTATTAGTATGCATTAATAACAGCCAACTTTGTAATGGTCAATCAAATCTTAAATAAGAATGC